CAGAATTTTTTTTTTTTTTTTTTTTTAAGAAATAAGTCTTATTTGGGGCAGAAAAAGCCACTTGCTAGGATCTCAGGTATATTCCAAAACTTAGTTTTGGTTCACCTCTGCTTTAGAATTACAGCAATTTTTCTGAAAACATTTCCCTTGTGAGTAGAACTGGATATTACACCTAATCAGGAAGGTTTATCAAAGCAACTTACTTTGGGCTTAGTTCTCATTTTCCTATGAAGTGGGGTTGACTGTCAAACACGTTATCACCATGCTGTGACTTTTACAACTGCTCCCCCACATATCATGACATATAGTAAGTTTCCTGGAAATAATAGAAAAGTCATGGCAGAACTAGACACTTAAGAGCTGATACCATCCACAGTGGACAGAGAACCGTCATTAAAATATGGACATCTTGGTTCATTCTGATTTATTGTCTAAACATTCCATGAGATACCATCATATTTTGAGGAGGAAAATTATGACATGGTATTGTTACATCACATGGTGAATTTGGTGTGGAAAAAAAATATTCCACTATTAAGACACATGGTCTGTTAAGACTCTGTATTATCTTTTTGGTTCTGGAACTTTTCAAGGCCAGTGATAAGCTTCTGGGCAGCAGGGATTATGTTGAAGTACCCCATTTAAGAATTAACATCTTCATGTGGAGAATATATATTAAACCAGTGTCATTTATACAATTCAAGAGAAATGTTTAAACCTTTATGATATCAGATCAGTACTACACATAGAAGTACTGGTTTTATAAAATTTGCAATTCCTCCAATTTATTATTGTTGGTCGCACAGTCAGCCAGATATTTAGACTGGATCTGGCATTTTTATCTACCTATCGAGTCCTTCTCAAGGACCTGGGATTGGCAGATGTTGTTTGATGGTGTTAAAGGTATCGTCACAGGATGTAAGCAGTTCCAACTAAAGCTGCCTTTAGTCCACTGTGGATGGTATTAGCACTTAAGTGTCTAGTTCTGCCATGACTTTTCTATTATTTCCAGGAAATAATGATGGTGATTTTTGTCAATGCCAATGGTGTTCAAGTGGTGTTCCAGATGTTTTGGGATTGCACCTAAGGCGCTTATTGGTACTATCTTTGCTTTCTTTTGCCACAGTTGTTCTATTTCTATTTGCAAGTCTTTGTATTTTGTGTTTTCTCCAGTTCTTTCTCTTCTCTTCTGCTGTCTCCAGGTATTGCAATGTCAACTATCCCGCCTTTTTTGTCTGTCTTATCAACAAT